TATGAGTCCGTGTGCCTGTCAACCAGAATATTAACAAGCTGGCTAAGTAGCACGTTGCTTACCCTGCTTACAACCTTTAACATCCTGCGTAATATGTTATAGTCTTTCTTCAGTAGCCCGGGAAAAACTAAGAGGGAACAATAGAGAATAATAGGCAGAATGCGAGAATTAACGAATTGTAGGAGTAAGGGTTGGGTTATACCAGAATGTTTTAACTTCTTAATGTAGAAGGTAAGACGGAATATTTTCTTAGAAATTGCCAGGATATGAGACGACCAGGAGAGATCAGCAGATAGAATGATGCCTAAGTATTTAATTTCCGACTTGGTCTCTATTTCAGTGCCATCTATGTTGCACACCTCGTGAGAGTCAACCAGTTTATTTCGGTCGGATTTATGCCTAAAGGTGAAATTGACTGTTTGGCATTTGGAGGGGTTTAAGGTAAGACCATTTTCCTTAGACCACTGGCTGATTTCTGACAGAAAGCCATTAAGTTTAGAGCAGTCGCTTTGACATCTTACAGGCAAAGATACAGACAGATCGTCAGCATATTTGACAAAATTAATGTCATTTGAAGATGGTAAGTCATGTAGAAAGAAAGAAAAGAGAAGTGGGGAGAGTACAGCACCTTGGGGGACACCACCCTCAGTGAGTACAGCAGAGGATGATTTGCCTTTGTATACGGTGTACTGCATTCTGTTAGAGAAGTAGGAATGCAGCCAGTTAGTGTTCCAGGACTCGGATTTTGTCAAAGAGAGCTTATTTAGCAGGAGACATCTAGGTACAGAGTCGAAAGCAGAAGTGAAGTCACGAAACGTGCAGCGGACGATGTTGTTGTGTAAGTGTCCGGTGAAAACACGAAGAAACTCGTCCCATCATATATGGGAAACATCTCCGAAATCACTGCATTACTATTCAAACATTTTGGAACTGATTTCGACCACAAATCAACAAAATCACTTCAATGAATCAGTCAACAGACACAACAGCCAATGAACTAAGAAATAACATAGTCTACAAGATAAATTTCTACGACTGCAATATAGTACGGTTGTCAAAATGGATGCCCCCTTTTTCTTTTCATCCATGAACATAAACTGGCAGTCAAAAGACATTATATTCACTCCCTTATATCACTGCATACAGACGACCACGGATACCAGTTTGCTAAAGATGATTGATGTACAAATCCCAGACAGAGGAAACACCAAAAATACTAGAGAATTTCTCGAAGCCCGGTAGGCAGGTGAATCTTCAATCGACAGACACATTTAGACAGACAAGATTTCCCAACCGATAAGAAGGAAATCTCACACACAAAGTCAAGGAAACAATCAGTTCCAATACAAGTAGCCTAGAGGGTGTGAAAATACACAAAACGACCAATTACTTTCAAGGTCAGGTCAAGTCACCAGGAGAGATGACTAATAAACTCGTGGAGAAATCTGAACCCTCACTTCAGATTGGAGTATGCGTTGAGGAGGTTTTCTAGTAAGATCATGAACACTTCTCAACTAAATCATGCAGCTCAAGATAACAACTACACCAAAATGATTCACCTGATCTCGGGTGCTACATATACATATATATGTGTCTCCAGAATTACCACGAACAGTTCGCACAGAACTGTCAGTGGACACCACTGCTCCAACAGAAACAGAAATTTGAATACAGTGACTCTACTGAATTCCATAAATGTAGCAGAGACAGACGGAATTTCTCCTCGAAGCACTGAAAACGGACGCAGAGACTGCGCTAGATATACTCACGCCAATACTAAAAGGTGCCTTCCGACTGGAAGAACGCCTGGCTATATTGTCGAGCTACCAAATAACGGCAACTTACGCTTTAGCGAGAACTAGTATGGAATAATGCTCTGCTGAATGTGATCAAATATAAGCAGGCGTTACTGAAGGTATAGCGTTCATTAGCTAACTGACAAACAGTGTAATAATCTCACTTGACAGTTGTAGTGTTATTCAATATACCAGCTCTGCAGTAATACACCTAACATCAGCATTTAATGTATTAAGAATACCTAAGAGGATCACAGACAGTGACTCAGTTCGACGTGGCGTGTATGTGGCTGATTACACAGCATTTAGCTATCAGTTTAGGCGTTGTCCTGAAGTTGAAGTGTGATGCATAACCTAGTTAGTTATGAATGATGACTCGTTTGTTTGAAAATTAAGTTCTGGTCAGTTGTCAACGTCTGACTGAAAAGTTGCACTGGTCATGGCTTTCTTCTTAAACAGATGCAAGCTTTGATCAACGTAAGTGGTTAGTTTAATAAACAGTCTCGTGGTACCGTCTATCGGTTGTGGTTAGTTGACATCTTTGAATAGGTCGTGATGATTAAGTAGGTTCATGTCTATGGAAGCCATTGAGACGTCAGCAGTAAGGAATATCCAGTGATTAGATTTCGGCAAACCTATGTTTGGAAAATCACAGCTTCTGCTGAAGGCTGCCATAGGCTTTGAGTTCGAAACCTGCTAGTTAAAGATAGTCGATTTCTAGCGACCTTTCTCTGTGACAAGAAGAACACTGAGATCCCGACCAGTACCTGTGAGTCGACGAGTTCTAATAATCAAAACAAATGGCCACCTCCGATTCAGCTACCCAGTTACCTACAGTAATTTTGACACATTTGTCAATGAAATAAACAAAGGAGCCATTTACAAAATGAACCCGCTATTTGGATAAAATCATTATATATTCAAGGTCCACAAGTAGGTTGGAAGATAGTAAATAAGCAAATAACAGGGGCGATGAGAATTTGAACTATAAAAACTATAATACACGTTCTAAAGGCGTGAGTACAGCTGTCAGCCTTCCCTTGGCGTGTGAAGACACAAACAACTGATCAGACAACCACCAACCCTCACATAGTTCAGTCCCTCTCTTTCCTTAGCCTAATGGCGTCTTCAATGAAACGCAGTTTTGTTTTCTGACTTCCCTTAATCCGATATATTATTATTATTATTTGTTTCCTTAGCAATTATCTACCTTGTCTGTCTTAGCATCTGTTTGTTACAAAAAACCATGCCGTTTTTCACTCTCCTTATTAATTCATCCTTGTTGATGATACAATTATTGTTACTTTCATCATAAAGGATTGTTGTACACTTCATATCGACAGCCTCATCACTCTACTGACAAATCGTCATTATTGGTTTTGATATAAAATATTCACTTGTATATATAAGGAGAATGACTGATAAGATCTAATTGAAATCAGTATTGTTCGCTGACATGTGTTGTTCTAGACACATTTCAACATTCCGACACCGACACCGTATCGTTATCACCAGCACTACGGTGACTACAATGACTGACCAGCCTCGTGGATTGCAACACTCAGACTGAAGTCAACGGAAGGTAGAAGTCATTCGATTCATTTGAGTGTATATTTGTGAAAATTAGTGTGAAGCTGTCGAAGAGGATGGGAAATGGAAGGAGAGGGAGAGAGTGGAATAATTAGATGTATCAACACTCTGACACACACACACACGTACTGGCTGCACATATCAAGCGTCATTGTGTCTATTGAACTCTCATGGAAAGTACTGTCTGTGTGTGGGGGGGGGGAGGAGTGGAAGAAGACGCTTCGGTGTGTGGTGAATCAAATTGAGCAGAATCCTGGTCCATTCACTGGTTGAACATCCCAATTTAGTCTGTTGACAAGAAGAAGAACAAGAAGAAGAAAATTGTGATAAAATGAAGTAGAATTGGAGTAGAGGATTCACAGACACGTAGCTGTGGAATCAGTGGGGAAATCCGTGTAGATTGATGTGACATTTTGCAGTGAATTTCAGTTAATTTACAATTTTCAGGCATCACAGTCTGTTTTCCTACATCCGAATTCAATAGTCACTCTGACACTCAACCACACACACACTTACACAACCCTTCCATCTAATCTTCTCCTCCCTTCGCTTCTTTTCCCATTCTCTCGCTGGTCATCGTATTTCACTTATTCTCCAAACTGTCAGTACACATACCAGCTAAAACTGGTGCCTCACGAACAAACACGAGTCAGTTCGCGCATTGGTCCGCTTGTCACTCTGAAGTATTCCTCACTGATTCCATCATGTCTTGTGATCATCTTGATGTGAGTTTGAAGAACAAATTGCATCGTTAGGCTTGTCCATTAAAAGTGATGTCGCTTCACATCACACTACTTTACTCAGACAAAGTGGAACAGTGAGAAGTGAGGGTAAATAGCAGTACAGTACAGTGCAGTTCGGTGTGGTTTGGTTTGGTGATGTGTGGTGTTGTGAAACTCACCTTCTCATTCGACAACGAAGTTCACTCAGGCGGTCACCGAAATCGTCTGTGCTCGTTCTCTCTTGAGACCAGAGTTGTTCAGCTATTGCAGCCGCGTGAGGCCTGTGTTGGAGAATGTATGAAAAGATATGAGATGAATTGTGAGATGTACGCATACACTATTGGTGATTTATTCACCGGATTATAGGAGATCGATTTACGATGTATTGATGTCTCAGAGGAAATATGTCTGATGTAGCGACAGGCACCTTATGCGTTGAAGTATTTTGAAACTGCGTTAACATCTTGAACATCTTCCTGGATATCACTCGCTGTTCAAAGAGATAAATATTTCACGTCAACTTCATAGCTGTGTTTGTGGATGCAAGTCATTGTTGCATGCTCATTTGTCTTCTGAAAATGTGCAAACTCAGCCGTCATCAATTCGACATGAATGCTTTTATGCGTAAAATGATGACTGTGGGTCTTCGGAAGCTTATGTTGTGTGAGTGAGGCGAGTATGTGATTGATTGCAGAGGCTGATATTGTTCAGTGGTGTCAACAACCTCATACTAATTCATACTAATTCTCTCAACGAATTCGAAGACGATGTGTCTCCCGCCTGTAGGCATATGAGTGATGAAGCTTAAACATGATGAATCGAAAACGGAAAACCATCATCACTTACCATGACACCAACATGAGATTTGAGTCATCCACGTAGTCACCTGGAATCACACCTTCTCCTCCAATGACCAGTGCCAGTTCCGCTGGACTTCCTGAAATATTCGATACACACACGGAAATCAATTAACAGTGTAAATCTGATGAAATGAACTCATCTGATTATCGCATGTTAGTTAGTCTTCCTGACTGTTGTGTGTTCTACACGAAACGGAGTGGATATCCATGTAGGAATTCGTCTCAGATGGAGGAGAATCGTCATTCTGTTTCGTCCATCAGTTTTGGTTAGAAATGATGAATGAGAATGTAGATGAGTGAGAGGGCTGTCAGTCGATTGTAATGATGTTGCCTAATTTCGTTTACGGCTAATTAGTACACACAGCTCACATAGATTACTACTATCATTATGTGCGATTCTCAATGATGCATGGATATTCATTGTTTGATATACGTCAGTGAGCTTGTCGGTTGTCTTACTGACATGTGCAAATGAGAAATGTTTATCTCTTTGTCGTGTTGTGTTGCTGTGTTATCTAATTTGGAGTAGTAGTTTGACAGTATTCTACAAGATGCACCGATCAGTGAACAGTGAACATTCTAATCGACCCACTTCTCACTCAGCTGAGCTGAATGAAACTGGATGATGAATTATACGAAGTGGATGGAATGTGTAGATGTAACATCTACAATGAGGACTGGATACTTGACACGCTTATGCAACTAATGACAACGATTCGACAAAGATTTCGCTGTGTGCATTGGTTAGCATTGATATCATTGGAAACGTCAAGTTTGAAAATACTCGGAGTTACCTTCGAAATCCAAGGGATCACACTCGTAGAACGCTCGCCAGTCGTCTCCGAGACTCACATCACTGAAATTCCAACACGACGATATGAGAACTTTGAATCCCGCTCTTGTGATCTCCTCAACACTCTTCTTCCATTCATCAGATTTGTATACTTGAAAAATGATGTCCTTGTCACTCTAAACACAGAAAAGGCGAAGAATTCATCAGTCAGTCAGTCATTCAGTCAGTCAGTAACATGTTCAGTGTGTTGATGAGGAGAGAGGAGATTGAGTCAGTCACTAATTAGTAGATGAGTGGACATCACACTGCAATACATAACTTGAGTGAAACATGGAGCAGTGATTGACATTCTGATTGATTGATTGATGGATGGTGTAAATTTGTGTTTGTGTGCGTTTCGTTTTCTTGTGGAACACTGAAGAACATTCACTGGCATCCTGTCATGCAGTGGACGAGTATTTATCCCCTCTCCAGCGATGTAATGCTAAGTCATTAGTAGTATTTTGCAGTCACCTTTGTTTGTAAGTTATGTCTATCATATGGTTAGCGAAATCGATGAGTAAGTTCAGTCTAATGAATACTTCTCATTTGGTGATTATCAATCAGCACTTGACTTTTCTCGAAACAACTCGGTTGAACAAATCGTCATACTACATCGATCATTGTGTATTAGACCTGATTATTTTATTCTCTTGTGTGATTACACTCTACCCACGTGCATGATTATTATGTGTTTTCATCAAGCGATTTGTCATTTGCTCGAGATTTGAATCGTGAGACTGTTGGGAGAAGACATCTCCCTGTTTGAGCGTATTGACAGTTGATCGAGATGTATGTATCTAATGCTGCCGTGACTAGTCACTCAACTGAGAATTCGAATACTCTGTGATGGAGTATCAGTGTAGATGACTAATTGTGTAGGTGAGAATAGAGACACGACCACAGCTAACCGACTTATTCGCTGTTGTCATTATATTGCTCATGTCGGTCAGAGTGAGAGAATTATTCCTGCTCATGACTCAACCGACTTAGGGAATGTATACAAGCTAACTATTATATAATCCCCTATGAGTGTTGACTTACACGAAATCCATCCTGATATACATCCTGCCAAACAATCGGAACCACTGGAGATCCCAACGATGCGGCCCTGACAATTTCTACAAGTTGTGTCATGTAGTAGTTCATCAACTTTGTATAGTCATTGTTGAATCCTTGCTCCTGCATGAATTTTGTGATGTCAGGATTGGACTGCCTGTAAAACGAGAATGGAATGAGGAGGTAATTTTTTATTTCGATGGGACAGACGAATATGCAGATTTATGTGGAATGGAACCAGTGGAATCAAATCACACCACTTCACTTTGCTTGTCTTATGTGCTCACCTCGCTTGACCGCTTACTTTGGCGCATATTCGATTCTTAGAAACATGCCTACCCTCCAGTGTATATATATACGTATATACCATCACACTGAATTGCATATACAATGCATCTTTCTCATATTCACCTGATCACACTGCACACACTGCATCCATACTACATGCACTTGTATGGTGCGCTTGTCATTGAGCACATTGTGAGAATCATGTGAGAAATGCATTAATTGAATCAATCAATCAGTCAATCAAGCGGTGCAAGATAATAGTATTAGTGAGAACTCACCAGCATGTGAAATCCACATCATTTCCGCCTAAATGAACGTGGTTGTCAGCAGAAAACACACGGCGAATTTCGTGGTACAAGTTCTGAATGAAGGTGAGATTGGTTGGATTGACAGGACCGAGTATTTGATTTCCTTCGTCGTCTTGAGTATGACAAGGAGTGAGTACATCGGGATAGCCATTTCCCCATGACTGTGTATGTGCTGTGAGATGATAGAGAGAGAGAGAGGGAGAGATGAAGTATGGAATGTGACTGAGTATTGGGATATTGGGATATACTGTGGTGTAATCTTGAGTGATGCGTTCTGTTATGTCTACTTATGAATAATGACGAATATGTGGTGTGCATAGTCAGTATATTGTTTGAGAGGCATAGCTTGATCTCACTGATGATGGGTGTCTGGTGTATATCACCTGTGTAGTGAATGTCTGTGACTCTCGCTATTTGGTGATGACATTGAATCTGTCTGGAATCGTGATGATTTCCTCACATTTCCACACATATTCAAACCAGTGTTTTGCTTTGATTTCTCAGAGGAACCGATCAGTGGTGAGTAGATTCAGTGTGAATAGTAGTTCTCAGGTTGGTGGTTATATTTCGGTAATCCAGTTCAGTGACATTTTATGGAGTCATCTGAATACAAATGAAAATTTGTCAAAATTGTTGGTACATACGAATCACCCTTCTGAATTCATTATGTGATTGGCGTGTAGTCATTTTGTATGCTCCAGTTGAGCTATGAATGATCAGTTACATCAGACATCCAGCAGGTAGACGCAATACTCTTTTCTCAGCTGGAGGTCATTCTCAGCCAGACAAAAACAATTCAGCTTTGTTTGAGTACTGCTAATTCCTAAAGTCATTGATTCGATAATTCCAAATATGCTACAAATGATTCCCAACAATGGAAATATTCAAAGACCTTCAAATACGCCAAATGGTCGGCTGAATTCCGACCATCCTTGTCTTCCGTTTGCATAGTTCGTTCATTGTTTTAATACGGGTCCGGAAAACTTCAAAGTCTGTAAATCACTGGGGTGGGCGAAATCACCCATCACAGTAATGTCTACTTATTCACGATTGACGAATATCAGGGTGTTCACTACTCTGTGCCAACACAGAGACAATTTCAAACTAGTTGAATATCTCAATACATACAACTGTGAGAATATCATGCTCACCTGGTGTATCGAACTCCGGAATTATTCGGATTCCACGAAGACGCCCATACTCCAGTAAATCAACTATCTCATTACGCTGATACACATAGGCCTCAGGATGATATGCACCCTTCAGTTGTTGTGGTGTGATTCAAGTTAGAAAGAGAATAATTCATCAATCTTACCTTGTTTGACAGTTCAGGATACATGGAGGAGACGAATGGGAATGATTCAGTGTCTGTGATGTGCCAGTGTAGAACATTCATTTTCACCATGGCCATTGCATCCTAAAATGTGCAAGTGTGAGTTTGTGTGAGTGTGTTAGTGTTTCACGTCTCCCTGGACAGGGGAGGGAGGTGAATGATGACTTACAATGAACTTGTGGATTTCTCTGATGGTGAGGAAATGTTTCGATGTGTCTAGCATGAGTCCACGATGTGAGAATCGAGGTGAATCATCCAATGTGAATATTTGTATATTTCTCTAGTTATGAAATAAACATTGTGTAAGAATATTTCAATGTCTTCTCTTCTTACCCCTTCCCATTCATCTTTGTATATATGTTGCAACACTGTTTCTAACCCATGTATAATTCCCCAGACTTCAGGAGCCCTGATAAACAGATTTGCAACATAGAAAATATCCTCATCCAGCTTTTGTTGCTGAAATGAAATGGAATCTTTCATACCATCATATTTTATGTGTGTGTGTAATAAAGGCAATCACTTACATGATTCGTTGGCTGAATCAGATGGCCGTAGCACTTCATTACTTTCATCACAGCCTGAAGTTATTTCCAGCGCTATCGGAAGTATAATACATTTATTAACTGGTGCTGTTGACGGTGGAAATTCTTCATGAACAAGTCGTTCCCGGAATCGTTTAACAGCTTCTTTCAATGTTATACATGACGGATAATTATCCACAATAGGTACACACTTAAAAATTGTACAATATTTCTCTTCTGGACTATAATTCTTTGGGATGGGTATCAAAGCTTGAGAATGAGGAATTATCAAGCATATAAGCGTTAACAATATGCACTCAATCATGCTGACAGTCCAAGCAGATATATAATGAGAGCTATTAACAAGTTCGCCTTAATCGCACCTTTAAGTTTAAATGTGCGCGCGTGTGTTTGTTTACCTGCGTAATCTGATTGGCCGATTCCAACAATAATAAAATGGGTAGGGAATGGCAATTTAAAAGAGTTGTGCAGTCAATATCCACTGTTATATTTTGATGATCACGTGACTGTGAGTGTGAGACACATCGAGAATGGATGTACTCAGACATCTAATGAACTAGAGTCACACACTTTCCGTGGTTTCGACATTACCTCATCCATTTGACTTCATGAATACAGGCTGCAGTTCATAAGAGATTTCTTTATCTCACTTGCACTGAGAAACTTTGCAGAAATCATCAAGGAAATGTTCAAAATTGGGAAATAAATAGAGTTAACTGCAGAGTCAAAGTAAGTATAGAACTTGGGCGGTGTGGTAGAATGTAATTCCCCAATATTAGATAAGTTTATTTCAAATATCACTCAGTGATGATGCAGTATGAATAACTGGATGACAAGGTTTCGAGCAGAAATCATCGTCAGTCATAATCCCAACAGTTTAGTCATACGGTTTCATAGTTTGTCTTATATATTTTCCCTACTCCTCCTTCCCCTCGCTCTCTCTAAATTCCCCTTGTTGTTTGTTTGCCACTTTCCATACCTCTGGTATAGCCTATTCGCCGTTCCGATTGTAAGTGTTCGGTGTTGAGTCGATAAACAAGGACCCACCCAGTGATTAACCTCTCTCACCACCTAACTAGATTACTTTTTAATACTCTCACCCTGTCCCATCCTATTTTGCGATTACATTACAAGTGAATGCAATGCATTGCAATGGCTGAGCTCTGTTTTTTCTAGGTTATTTAACTTAGCAGGGTCAATCATTCTAGGTCTAGGTCAATTTTTATGTTCCGATAATCGAATTGACCTAGATCTACCAGCTTGGTTGACCTATGTAATTGACCTCACTAACAGTCATTACATGGTATTTCGTAAGTTATATTATTCTTCCTAATTGGATCTATTGAGTCCTTAAGCCGACAAAGTTTATCGCTGAGAGAGTTGGTTGGTTTAAGTGCCACCCTAATTCCAGCCTTATCGGGAATCCTACGTAAGGCCTCTAACGTTCCTTCTTCATACGGCTGTACTACAGAAGCTTTGAATTCTACGTGATTTTTGTGATTTTCGTCATTTCCCTTGCTAATCTTATTCTTTTTCTATGGTTTTTTATATATTTCTGAATGAATTCTGGTGGGTTGTGTGTTATTCACTGGTAATATTCTCTTGATTTGTTTGATTTCATCATTTAAGTCTTCTGGCCTACTAATTAGGCTCCTGGCCCAGTTACACAGACATTTAACTAAATCTGTCTTCCTTTACCGATTCTGGATGGGATGAATTAAAGTCTAGTCTGAGTACTTTTCGAAGGTGTATCGGTTTCCTATAAAAGCCTTTTATCTAACCACCCACCATCTGGTTTTCGTTTTATTCTACAGTCTAGTATGGCCAACTCACTCTCTGTTTCACTTTCTAACTCAGAAGTGAATTGGATTCCGACTACTACTGTGCGAAAAGCTGAGGGACATGTTCAGATTTCAACACAATAGTGAATGCATCATCCACATATCTTCACCATAACCTACTTGGAGCAGGATTAAACCTTCTAAGAGCCTTATATTCCCAACTATCCATAAATATGTCTTCCACTATCGGGGATATTGGCGATCACATTGTCAACCCATTCGTTTCTTCATAGTTTAATTTGAAATTTGAATACAGTGAAGGTTAGACATAACTGAACACTTAATATTATTTCATCATCCAAGAGCTTAGTTCTACTTTTGAGCTCAGAATCAATATTCATTACATCCTTGACTGCCTCCAGAACTGTATTCATTGAAAATTATTAGTATGCAAATTGGTTATGTCAAAGCTAATCATTTTTCATCTTTTTTCTAATTGAATTTCCCCTGGTTTCTGTTTCATTACACAGGGATTAATTAGTTAGCCTAGAATTTGACCTGTCTGTAGAGTCACTAGATTTGAGGACAAGCAACTGCACTGAATGACCATTAGAAGTAGACAATAATTCGATGGGCACATACAAACGGAATTATATATATATATATATCCATTTTCGTGTGACCATTTAATCTCTCAAATATAAAATAAAAAGTAAATTTAAGTGGATAATCGTTTACTTTATCAAAATATTTTGCGTAATAGTGAAGATTAAGTAAACTTAAATTAAGGGTGTAAAGATTAGTGAGTTCCAACGACAGTTATGGAAATTCAAGTGATGGTTTGTGGGGATTTGATTGATTGATTGATTACAGGATCTCATCGTGAGCTGACATTGGTTAGAGAACCATTGGAAAACCAGCAGGGAGTACTGGACAGCTTTTTCTTCATCCTAGTTTGGGACTCTTCATCAGTACGCACCCACTACAGGAGGTTCGAACCCATGACCTTCTGGTTACAAGGCTAACGAGCTCGTAGACAATTTAGCCACTTGGATCTGATCCAATGGCCAGTGCATGAATTCTAACTTCTGCCAATTCACGACATAGCGCAACCGCTAGTCAATGTCTTTGGAGAGTATTTGTCATCACAACCCACCTGCTTCACACTACTGGTCACAACTTCCCACTAGAACCCCACGTAACTAACTACCTGAATAGGGCCAGCTGCCAATGAGCATCTCATCGATATTCAAGTGTTGGTTTGGAAGGAACAGTTATGGAAATTTACCGTTTGAACCTACAGAAAGACAAAACAGGTGATTCAGCGAAGACGCAATCTACATACCTTTTATACACTGGAAAACCTTGGCCTGCTGACTTCACATAATCATTATTTATGATGTTGATTATGGTCTGAAATAATTAATATATTAAGTGTGTTTAATGAGCTCACCTATGGGCCCATTGCTTGCAGATTTCTTCATGTCAAAGCTGGTAAACACATAATTAAGGAAAATGATAGACAGCTTTGGGTTTTATAAGAGATACGTGAACGATAATTTCAGTATCTCCAATAATGAGGAGAATTTGGCGGAAATCCTGAACTTCTTCGACAGCAACTATCCTGCAATTCAGTCTATATAACAGAAAGAATCCGACAGATAAATATACTTTCTGGAGGTTCAATTAACAAAAGCTAACCAGATGGAACACTGAAAGCATCCATCTACAGAAAGCCGAGATGGAACAGACAAGTCATTCACTAACTTTTATAGCTGAGTGCCTCTATATACAAAACGAAACCTGACCTGTTCACTGAGCCACAGGATTCACAATATTTGCAGCCCCGATACTATAGAAGAAGAGTTAAACACTCTGAAGAGGATCTTCTTAGAAAACTGCTACCCAGAACATTTCATCACAAAATCTATGAAACCTAAACCACCAAAACAACCCACACTCTCTGCTTCCAGAAACCTTCCTTACCTGAATCTACAATTCAATGGAGATTCATCAGCAGAAGTACTGGGAAACCGCCTGTCCTAATCATTGAAGTAAACCTTCCTCGCGGGTGAACTCAGACTAATCTTCTCTACGAAACCAATGATGCGCATGAACGCGTAGGATAAGCTACGATTGTTGGCCCCATCAATGTGTATCCACCAATTCACTTGCTCTTGTGGAGCTAGGTATGTCAGCCATAACTAACGTTTGCTATCCAAACGTATCATCGAACACTTATTCACAGTCAGAAGCAGAAAAAAGATCCCCCGCCACAAGTCTATCCTTCAACACCTGATTGAATCGAATCACTAAGCAAACTGATAAAGTAACTTCAAAGTAATCTGCAGAATACGTTGGATTCTTGCTAAAAGAGTACGAATCAAACTTCTTCAAACCGTAGAAGCAATGGTGATTCACATGTTAAATCTTGCACTCTGAATACAAAAGAAGTCTTGTTGAATCACCAAATCTACACTGGACCTAATCTGTCTTAACACTGGATACTTAATTTTTGTGTTTTGTTCCTTAATTGTATTATTTTCTTCCCTCACACCCTGTTAAACTACAGCCCCTTGTTGTCGCCGTTATTAACTCAACTCTCGTTCAATTTTAGTTTCATTCTGCTCAGTTGAACTTTTGTTAAATAATATTGTCTTACAATACTTGTTTTGTATTTAGAAACTTACATTCCCTGTATATCCAGTTGCCTTACAACACTGCTGAGGTAAATTTCAGTTTTGATGTTATTATCATT